GGGGAAACTTGGCGCGGGGCGGCGGGGGCGCCCGGCGCGCGGTGCCGGTGGGTCGCGGCTCCCGGGACCTCCGGGTGGCGCGGGCGCGGCAGAGGGAGGCGGGCTGCAACTTTCCCTGAGCGCAGGCCCCGCGCGGCGCGCCGGCTCCCGGGCTGGGGGCGCTTCCTCTCCGCCGCCGCTCCGGGCGGCCCTTGCCGCGCGCCCGGGGACTCCCGCGGCCCACAGTGACCCGCCGCCGGCTCCTCTCCGGCCCTCTGCTCGGGGAGCCTGTCCTCCCCGCGGGGTCCGCCGGCGCTATGGAGCGCACGGCAGATCCGCCCCGGGGCGGCTTTGCTGGCCAGGTTTTCGAAAGCAGAGCCCCGGGGGCCCCGCTGGACTGTGGCGTGCGGGACCACGGTCCCCGTGCCGACCCCCAGGCTCCGCGAGGGACTGCTGCCGGGGCTCCCCATCCGGCGCCCGAGCTGCCGCCGTGCTCCGGGGCTGCGTTCCTGCCTGCCACCCCCGACCCGGAGGAGCTGAGCGCCCGATTGCTGCGCCCCGCACGGGCCAGCTCGGCGCCCGCGACGCCGAGACAGCCCCCGGACTCTGCCAGGTGGATGTTGTGCGTAGCCGGAGACAAGTTGAAGGTGAGCGGCCCCAAGCTCCGCGAGCGCTGGGGCGCGGGAGTGGGGACGGCTCTGCGGCTTGGAAGGGCCCAGGGCAATCTGGTGCTGGGAGGTGGGGAGGGGGTTTCTGCGGCGTCTCTGGGGACCGCTGCTGCTCCCAGCTCTGAGGTGTGCGTGAAGGTGAACTTGGTCCAACTTTACTAACCCGGTGGGCTGGGGGATAGTGACCGACCGCACCTTTAGGAGAAAATGAATTCCACATTGAGGCTTGTAAGAATCCAGGCAGATTGGATTAAAGCGGATGTGAGTGGAGTCTGACAACTTTAATTGTATGTGCTTGTTTTCTGCCCTCGCCGACGGAAGAACGATAAAGCAGACTCATAGTCGTTATGAAATTTCCTCAAATTTCTCTCTTAACTAGGAAGAAGACTATGTGAAATATGTATTTCCGATAAGATTAAAACTTAAAGGAGTTTGAGTATTTATTGACCAAAATAGATTACTCCAAAGTGTCTATTGTGTAAATTAGATTCCTGAATGTAATGAACACAGCCGAATGGCATTTTTGATAAATTGGTCTACCCTGTTTTAGTAAAAATAGCTCCCTTTTACCATAATTTAATTCCTGTGCTTACTGTAAAACCCGTTGTGGAGTTTTAAGGGACAAACCTTAATTTTTTCTCCCTCTTGTCTTCTTAAATGTGACATCCTAGCTTAATATCAATGAAGTTTCTTTTTTAAGCATCCTGGCAGAACTGCCTGGGAAATGGATTTGGTTTCTAGAGAGTTATTAGATTTTATGAACTTGGTATAAATAGTTCCTCTCCACCCCAATAGATTAGGTGCTTGTTCAGGGGATCACAGCGACATTTAACAGTGTGGCTTCAGGATTCGATTCAAAGATTTCTGGTAGTTTACTCAAATGAACTTTATGTTGATCTTGAAAAACAGCAACCACCAAATAGATCCTTTCTCCGAACATTATTCTTGTACTGAGAATAATGCCTCTTGGTGGTAGGGATTTGGCCTTAGATGGTTTCCTATGGCTGCTGCATCGCACATTTGAAAATGTCAGTTGAACATGGAATGCCAAAGTTCCCTGGCCAGACTGGTCCTTTCTGTGGGCCCAGGGAGGTCTTTTGATTCTCGCAGATGGTGAATGGGCCAGTGAGACTGCGATTTGAGAGAGAAGTCATTAGTTTGAACTCTCTCGGCTTTGCAGACCCCTGGTACTGAGGTCTGCTTGCCTGCAGAGCCCAGCGAGGGTTGGGACTTCAAACATCTGAAGGTAGAGAGACTTGGTCTCTGCCAGGCAGATCCATGTTAGAGACTGCAGCGGATCTGGGTGAATTCGGATGGTTCTGTGCCTCTCCACGGCCCCGTGGAGCTTGGGGCTTCCTGGGTCCTGAAGCCACCTTTGGTCTCGTGGTGAAAGCCCAGGAAGAGTTTCTGAAGACTGTTCTCTATTTTGCTTCCTTTTTAGTCCCAGAGGCTTGCAGTATGGACGTTTCAGAGCTCTGTCGTTGCTAAGACTCGTTGGACAAGTTTTCATCCTATCCCAGACTTGTAAAAACCAGACTTTTTTTTTTAATAAGAAAAATACCATTGTATAAATTTATCTTTTAAACACACGTTTGAAAAAAGTGCACTTTCTAAAACCAGCTCATGTAACTCTGTTATGCGTTAATGGAGCTTGAACTTTTGGGGTGGGGCCTGCCAGTGGCTGGCTTCTCTTGGGGGTATTCTCTCTGCTTGGTCATGGCTTGTGTTCCCCTTTAAGGATCCTCTGCAAAAGTGAACCCTAAAACTTGTCTTCTTTTTCAAAATCAGAGGACTATTTTAGTTTTACTGCAAGTTCGTTTTCTGGTTGTTTCTCCTTTTACAGAATCGCGTGTTGCCAGCTGTCCCAGACGGTACCGCAGAAGAGGTCTATTATTTTAATTAAAATATCTCATTCAGTGCCTTTGATGGAATAATGGATAAACAAACTTCACTGCCGCTGCCCCTGTTTTTGTTTTCTTGTATTTTTTTTTTTTTTTTACTGTAGGTGCCTTAGAGATCGGGCATGTGGGGTCCTTATCAGCTGATTCAAGGCTTCTCTTGGGTGAAACCATTATTATTTTTTCCCGAAGGTGCAGGCTAGTGCAGGAGTAGTTCACCGGCAGCTCTTGATCGTCGGTGCAAAGATGCTTTGCCCGAGTTCCCAACTTCATGTGTGTTCTGTCAGGAGTCAGCACAGGAGAGCTGGAAAGGGGACCCACAGCCTGGTCCTCTCAGGAATGATTCTCTCCTAATCCACTGAGCTAACCTCAAGAATGCTGTCTGGTGACCCCTTTGAGCCCAGGACCTTTAATGGCTATTTAAAATGCCTTTTCTCTGTGGCTGTTCAGTTAAGAAACCCCATCAGGGCCGAGTGTGGGAGCCGGCAGGCCCTGGGGTTGGGGCTCCAGGATCCCGCTAAACAGCCCCACCATCCTCGGGCTCCGCTGCAGTCTGGGTCTCAATGGGGGAACGTTTGTTTCAGCACTACAGTGACATGAAGCAAGGACCCATTTGTTAGGAAAAAACTTGTCAATTTTTTAGGAGAAATTCATCTTGTGAAGAACTCTGCAGAGCTGGACTCACTTTCTGCCAAGTGTTCCCTTGGTGGCTCATGTAAATCTTGCATGTTTAAGACAGGTGTGTCTGCTGGGCTGTGACACAAATGACATGTAAAGTTACTGTGAAAGTGATTCTACTGTACAGGATCATAAGTCACTGCAGGAATTATTTAAAGCCTACTTAGAATTATTTAACATGCAACTTTAAAAATATAAGTGCTCTCCCCACCAAAAGTCTGATTTTTATTGGTAATTTCACAGACAGAAACGTGTCTGCCTAGCCCTTTTGTTTTGTCTGAAGCTCTGCATTATCGCAGCTGAGAGATAGTTTTGGTTTCAGCTGAAATTTCCTTGCCTCTGATTGTTTAAACCAGATCCTTAATCTTATTTTAACGTATTTAAAATGTTCAAAAAACCCGGAAGAATTGTTTTGTATAAGTAGCAAGTGAATGTAGTTTAAACACTCCAGCAATTCTGGTATCTAATTGGAAACAGGTGGAATTCTTGGAATCCTGTATTTGAGCCTTCCTGTAACCCAGCACAGGGACACTTTTTACTTGTGGCTATTCATCTCACTAGTGCTGTTTGAAGAGTGGCCTCACGGCCTCTCTCTTTCTCCACCACAGTGTATGTGGACGTTCCAGTCATGCTGGGCGTTTTAGGGATCGGATGCCTGTGGATACCTGGGCACTGAGAGAATTTTGTGTGTGTGATGGTGGAGAGAAAAAGGAGCGCTGCTGGCCTCGGGAGAGAAGCGACTTATTATCTGCTGTTATGTAACTTTTATAGCAAAGAAGTTCTGAGTTCTTTGCAACCTCTGATTTAATAAACATTTATTGACCCGAGCATGTAGGTACATTTTATTGTTCCCTAAATATGATTTAGCATTTAGAATTTATTTTCCCTAAAAGTTCTACATTTAGAGATATAAATTTCGGTTGCAACCAAAAAATGTGAACTTGGTGTGGAGCCCTAATAATGGGACCCTTGGAATCGTCTACATGATTTTTTCCTGTTGTGGTTTCCAAGCTGTGCTCCTGAACACAGGTGATGGCCCTGCTTTGCTCTGTGTTTCCAAAGCGAGTTTGGTCTGGGTGTAGGTGCTGGCTTTCAGAGGAGGAGTTGAGGTCTGCCTCTGGCCACTGGTCCTGCTGCAGTTGCCAGCTGCCATCACTTCTGTTCCCAGCCCCTCTCTGGGAAGGTTGGTGGAGCAGAGGTGTGTCCTTGCAAGGGAGGGGGGTTTCACTGGGAATGGAGGGGGACTCTGTGCTGATGTTCTCATTGATGCCACTCCAGAAGCCGCTTGGACACACCTGGATTGTGGCTTAAAGATTTTTAAAAAGTGCTTGTGCCTATTCACACAATGTGGCACAGTTTAAAAATGTAATGAGGTCGCACACTGTCTTTGAGAGATGTCTGAATTGTTGCAAACCCCACTAAAAGCCTTTGCTTTAGAGAGCAAACAACTCTCTGATAAAAAATAATTCTCCTTCTGGCTGTAATTAATTCCTATAGGATGATGTTAATGCACAAATTAAAGGCTGTCAATTTCTTCATTTTAGTCTGAAGACTTTTCCTTACTGCAGTAGTCTGCGCGGGCCTTGGTAGAATTCTTGTGTTTAGTAAGAGTCCTGGGCCACGGGGTTGCCAGACCCCCCAAGTGGAATTGGTAGGGATCCCACCCACAGGGTCCTCCTGCACAGTCAGACAGGAGACTGTGAGGAAAGCGGATGGGGTCTGCCTGCAGGGATTTGCTAGCATTGTAGGTGGGAGATTCACATCCAGTGGAACTGACAGTCCTGCTTCCTTCCAGAACAGTGTGTGTGAAGCCGAGCAGGGCATGCCAAGGCGGCGGGCACTCTTCTGTGAGCGGGAGAATCCTTGGGAGCCACTGGACCCCCTGGGTCTCGCATAAGGCTGCTTCCATCAGCTGATGTTTGAAATCCTGGATGCTTTTGACCATTTGGAATTTGTACAATTAATCTGGGGGGCATGGGCGGGGGGACTACCAGCATTGAAACTCTGAGATGCCAGCTTGTTCCTGGCGTTGCTTTGTGCCTGCGTCACAGACATGTTTCTCTCTCTGGCTGAATGTGTTCAATAAGTAAATGTGGTTAACATTTTTTAACAAGTTACCTGTGGTTGTCAGGTGTTCCCAGTTTGGTTGAGGGAAAAACACTTGGACACATTAGCTCTTTCTTAAGCGAATATTGCGAAATTGTGAGTAGTAGAATGCCATTCTTACTGTCATTAAAAGTTTATTTGGGTGTTGACAGTTTTTTGCTAAATGTGAGACGCTCAGATCCTGTCCATCCGGCACATGAAAAAATGAAACAAACCAAACTCTGCTCAGAGCTTCTTTCCATTTCCCCCTACAAGCAAGATCGTCTTTCTTACACTGGGTCTTTCCCCCTAGTAGAT